GCTTTGAAACGGAGATGAGCACCGCAACCCTAGAGTCGGATTTGACTGGCTTTCGAGCAAGGGAACCTTTACCTTTACTTTATGACAGATGGCCTCAGTTTAGACATTGTAGCTTCTAGGGAGGTTCCTACAGTACACACACATAGTTCTGTACTCTTCTAGTACTGCCAGACCATTTTAACTTGAAATTTTGGTTTATGCTTTTAGAAATGCAATCCAACTTGTGTTCACAAGAACCAGGGTGCCTTTCAGGTAACATGAAGCCCCTTTTCTAGAAGAAGGGAATTGCTGCTTAATGTCAGGCCCCACAGCAACAATGAAGTACACACTTGCAGGAAGGTTTTACTTTATTTGAAGCTATAGATGCATGGACAGGAACACTGTTAGGAATGACGGGCAAACTCAAGCCACCTCTCTGAAAAGCGTCCTAGCTCCACTAGAGATCACCAGAAGTCACCATGACTCCCAGGTTCACAAGCACATACGCGCGTGTGCACACACACAATACACACATTAAAAAAAGAGTAACACCCTTATGTCTTATCCAGAAATAAGGACGACAATCGCTTTATTTCCCCCCCACCCCCAGTTATTAGATTTCAGAGCTAAACGTTCACATCAAAGTTGCAATTCTAGCATCATGATTCAAGATTTCTAACACTCGGGGGGGGGGGATCAATCCAAGAATGGTTGGGGTAGGACAAGACAATGGAACACACATGCATCTGGGAGTCAGTCCCCATTCAATTTACTGAGACTTCCTTCTGAGTAAAGGAGCAGAGAATATGTTTGCAAGAATAGGTCACTGGGGAAAAAGGAAACCATTTCTGGGAAACACTTCCCCACTCCGAGAGTTACACGCTTAGGACTTGGCTCCGTTGTCACTTCCACCAATGTTTTCCTGGATCCAGCTGGCATATTGGCTGATTTGTTGGCAGCTTGCTGACACTTAGTGAATAGGCTAATACCCACAGGACTGGCAATGAAGAGTAACACCCTTGTGCCCTGAGCTGGATAGCCCAGGCGAACCCGATCTCGGAAGCTAAGCAGGGCTGACCCTGGCAAGTATTTGGAAGGCAGACCTTTAAGGAATACCAGGGCCGGGATGCAGAGGCAGGAAATCAAGCCACCTCTCTGAAAAGCGTCCTAGCTCCACTAGAGATCACCAGAAGTCACCATGACTCCCAGGTTCACAAGCACATACGCGCGTGTGCACACACACAATACACACATTAAAAAAAGAGTAACACCCTTATGTCTTATCCAGAAATAAGGACGACAATCGCTTTATTTCCCCCCCACCCCCAGTTATTAGATTTCAGAGCTAAACGTTCACATCAAAGTTGCAATTCTAGCATCATGATTCAAGATTTCTAACACTCGGGGGGGGGGGATCAATCCAAGAATGGTTGGGGTAGGACAAGACAATGGAACACACATGCATCTGGGAGTCAGTCCCCATTCAATTTACTGAGACTTCCTTCTGAGTAAAGGAGCAGAGAATGTGTTTGCAAGAATAGGTCACTGGGGAAAAAGGAAACCATTTCTGGGAAGCACTTCCCCACTCCGAGAGTTACACGCTTAGGACTTGGCTCCGTTGTCACTTCCACCAATGTTTTCCTGGATCCAGCTGGCATATTGGCTGATTTTGGTGTAGACGCCTGGCAGGTTTGGCTGGCCGCAAGGGTTCCCACCCAAAGACACGATGCCCTGAAGCGTATCTTCACAGATAAGTGGCCCGCCAGAGTCTCCCTGTTAGGAAAAGATCATAAAAGGTCTTCTTAGTGCATGCTGTGATACCACATGGTGAGAGGAAGGCATGGTTGCCAACCTCCAGGTCGTACAAGCCACCAAAGTTCACTGTGGAAAAAATTATTCCATTACAGTCACATGCTCTTTGCCTCTTACTCTGAATTAATCTTACAGAGTAAGAGGCAAAGACCATGGGGTAAGCATGTCCTTGATTGTTCACCCTTGAAAAAGAATGCATGAATAAGAGTTGTAACCATATTATAATTTATTTGTAAAACAGCTCCATGCATAAACAAGCAACCAGACGGAGCATTGAGGGAAACGCGATACTTACCTAGGAAATCCGTCGTCGTTGTTTGAAAGTTGTTTGGAAGCAGCAGCAGTATTGCATGAAGTAAAACAAAGGAATAAAAGAAGAAGCAATGTTTGTGGACTGTGACTGTAATGGAATAATTTTTTTCACAGTGAACTTTGGTGGTTTGTACCTTTGGTTAATCACTGTGGTCCATTTGTGGCTTGAACCTCCAGGTGGTGGCTGGAGATCTCCTGGGATTAAAACTGATCTCCAGGCGACAGAGCCAGTACCCTGGAGAAAACTGGCCACTTTGGAAGGTGGACTCTATGAGATTATATCCCATTGAAGTCCCTCCCCTCTGCAAACCCCACCCTCCTCAGGCTCCACCCCCAAACTCTCCAGGTATTTCCCAACCCGAAGCTGGCAACCCTAGAGGAAGAAGACTCTCCCCTCTCCCTTTGGTCTTCCCAGTCATTGTCACCATTTAGAGGCAGCTTTGCCCGGGAAGTCGTTTCCAAGGTGCATGGGCCTTGTGCTACAGACAAAGCCTCTGCCTACATCCTCTGTGGAGTATGCAAGTAGAAGGACTAAGGGCACATAGCTGGGGTAGTGAAGAAACCTGACCCCTAAGATGTGTGCCTCTTTCTCCAAAAATGTAGGCCCATAGTGAACATGCACCCATCTTTGCTGCTGGAAGAATCTGGGAGCTGAAAGCTACTGCACATGTGCTAGATGGGTGGGAAGTTCAGACAGGCTTGGCCTGGGGAAACTTACCTGTAAACACACTAATGTCAGGAAGATTTTGATCCCATTTATCACTCATCTAGAATTCTCGGCTTGATGACATCATCCCACCAGGTGAGCATTTTGGCCTGGTTTGCCTTCCATTGTTTTATGAACACACTCAACTTCCTGTGTACAAGGGGAAAGCTCCCTACCCGGCATGAGTCTTTGCCTCCTTCCAGAACCCCGGCACAAAGGATATTCTCAGGCACGACGCATGGAAATTCATCCTTACACGATTGGCTTTCGAGGATCGTAATGTTAACGCAGTGAGGCACGTCGGGAAATGTTTCTGAAAAGAGTAGAGTCAGCCGTGATTGTCTAGCAGAGGGGTCCCTAGTCTTTTTTAAACATGTAGGCACCGTGGAATTTTGAGAGGAAGTGATAAGTGCTACCCCAAAATGGCTGCCACAAAAGGCAGAGCCAATCCCAAAATGGCTGCCACAGAAGGAAAGAGCCAAACCCAAAATGGCTGCTCTAGAAGTAGAATCAAACGCAATACCTCACTTTGCAAAATAAACACACAAGGGGAATAAAAAGAAGGAAAGCTCGGGGGCGGGGGGAGAAAGGAGAATATTAAGAAGGGAAGTCTGAAGGGAGAATGGAACCACACAAGGAAAGCATAGGTGCTTACCAGTCCTGATCCTGTAGTGGCTTCAGCTGCCATTGTAGTGGAAAATCCTTTTATAGAATCACAGAATTGGAAGGGGCCATACAGGCCCTCTAGTCCAGCCCCCTGCCCAATGCAGGATCAGCCTAGAGCATCCCTGACAAGTGTTTGTCCAGCCCCTGCTTAAAGACTGCCAGTGAGGGGGAGCTCACCACCTCCCTAGGCAGCTGATCCCACTGTTCAACAACTCTTACTGTAAAAAAAAAATTCCTAATATCCAGCTGGTACCTTCTTGCCCTTAATTTAAACCCATCATTGCGAGTCCTCTCCTCTGCTGCCAACAGGAACAGCTCCCTGCCCTCCTCCGAGTGACAGCCCTTCACATACTTCAAGAGAGCCATCATGTCCCCCCTCAGCCTCCTCTTCTCCAGACTGAACATTCCCAAGTCCCTCGGCCTTTCCTCACAGGGCTTGGTCTCCAGGCCCCTGATAATCCCCATTGCTCTTCTCTGCACATGAGGCCACCAGACCTGCACACAATACTCCAGGTGCGGTCTGACCAGTGGAACTATGACATCGTGCAATTTGGATGTTATGCCTCTGTTGATACACCCTAAGATTGCAATAGCATTTTTTGTCGCTGCATCACACTGGCTGCTCTTGTTTAACTTACAGTCCACTTGTACCCCAAGATCTTGTCCACACACACTGCTACCTAGAAGTGTATCCCCCATCCAGTATGCATGTTCTTCATTTTTGTTACTGACATCATGTAGAACTCGGCACTTATCCTTGTTAAATTGCATCTTGTTCACATCCACCCACTTTTCCAGTGTGTTCAGATCTCGTTGAATCCTCTATCTTCTGGTGTGTTTTTATGCTCCTCCCAATTTGGTGCCATCTGCAAATGTAATGAATAGCTCCTCCACACCCTCATCCAGATCATTTCTAAACATATTGAATAGTACCAGGCAATGTTCCCTCTAAGCTGTGGAGTCTTGTGAGCAAAAATTCTATTTTGTGAGCTACTGGCATGAAAGCTGTGAGCGAGCAATTTGGCTACTGCATAAATTAGTGTGCTCTGGAGCCATCCTTCCTGAGCTAAGACAAAAATGTGTGAGCCGGAGGCTAAAAAACGGTGAGCTAGCTCACACCAACTCAGCTTAGAGGGAACACTGGTACCAGGCCCAGAACCGAGTCCTGTGGCACCCCACTGGACACTTCCCTCCATTCAGATAAAATGCCGTTGACAACTACTCTTTGAGTGTGGTTCTTCAACCAGTTCCCTATCCTCCTAACTATCCTAGAGTCCAGTCCACAGGCCTCTTTCATTTGAATGAGGGCGGCCAATAACAAGCTGTACCTTACAGTGACCCTGCCCACATTCTACAAACCTCAGTGTGTGCCCTTAGACACTGTGTTGGGGAAGCCTGGTCTATCAGATGCTTGAGGAGGATCTGCTTGGCTGGGAGAGCGTGCCCTCCTTTCCCGACTCTCCCCTTTTTAAGAAAACAGCCTTGATATAGTATTTCACTAGGGCTGCTTCCACAAGGTGACAATTCACCATGTAGACAAGGCATCCACACGGTGGTTTCCCCTGCTGTGTGAGGAGGGCTATCTCAGGCACTTCTACATCCTCCCTGTTCTCCCAGGTCTGTCTTCTCTCCTGGCAGGAGCATGTCTGACTCCATGCTACGGCCTGTCATTCCTACAAGCTCCCCTTATTCTGACTCCACTCTGCATGTGCACTCTTACCAAAGTGAGCTTCAGGGCTTTGTGGCCCTACCAGGATTGGTCACTCTGCATGTGCGCTGTTCCCAGTGTGAGTTCCAAGGCTTTGTGGCCCTTCCATAATAGACCAGAGTATAATCTCACCAGTTTAACCCCATTGTCCTGCCAGTGCCAGATCAAAGATCGATATGGGTTTTGGGGAATGCTGGGCCTTGCTGGAGCTGGTGCGCCCTATAGGTTGCATCCACCTGACTTCTTTGCTCACTCTCACTCAGTCCCGCTCCTGACGACAACCCGTGTTCCACGTGGCTTTTGTCCAGGGCTATTTTTGGGCAGGAACGCACAGGAACGGAGTTCCGGCTGGCTCCCAAGTTGGCCACGCCCAGCAGGAACTCATTAGCATAATAGGCCACACCCAACAGCAGGAACTCATTAGGATTGGCTACACTATGCTGTTATGCTAATGGGTTTTTTTCAACGAGATCTGAACACACTGGAAAAGTGGGTGGATGTGAACAAGATGCAATTTAACAAGGATAAGTGCCGAGTTCTACATCTGGGTAACAAAAATGAGGAACATACATACTGGATGGGGGATACACTTCTAGGTAGCAGTGTGCTGTTGGGTGTGGCCTATTATGCTAATGAGTTCCTGCTGGGCTTTTTCTACAAAAAAAGCCCTGCTTCTGTCAGTGTAGTTTCCGTGATCCCCAGGATAGACTTTTTGGTGGTCAAAGGGGAACCCATCATCCCTTTTTCATCCCTGGAGAGCCAACTTGGACCCAGCCCTGGGGCTCACCTTCAGGACTTGTGACTGCACCCCAGCCCATCACAGTGCAGCTTGTTCCCAACGAGGGAGGGCTCGTGGCCAAGCTGAGAGGGGCTACGTAAGCCGTACGATCGGCAGCCGTGTTCAGTTTTATCAGCATGATGTCATTTTCGCATTCATTTGCACAGTCGACGTCTGGGTCGAATACAATAGTTTCTGCGCTGGTCCTCATTTGCTCGTTCCCAGATGACTCTGACAAGTTGTGCTCTCCGAGCCGGATCACAACGATCTCACTGCTGTGAGAAAAAGCAGCAAAGATCTCAAAAGAGAAGAGTCCCTTGAAGCAAAGCCTTGACTGACCAGCTGATCTGTGCTCTAGTTCAGGGCTCCTCTACTTTTTTGAGCCTGCGGGTACCTTTGGGATTGTGACACGGCATGGTGGGCACAGCCACAAAATGGCTTCCACAAAATGGCTGCCGTGGGAGGCAGAGCCAGGCACTAATGCAGCTTACCTTCAGTCATGAAGTGCAGTTCCTTGCGTTGTGGTGGCAACTGCTGCCAAAACAACATTTTTTAAAAAAAACACAGCCAATCAAATCTCCAGGAGCCAATCAGAAGTCTTGCTGGCCAAAAGACCTACCTGGTCCCACACAGTTCCTAAAAAAACACTTGGTGGGTGCCCTGGAGCCCACAGACACCGCACTGGGGATCCCTGCTCTAGTTTGGCATGGACGTCTGACTGGGCCCCTGGCCTAGAGCAGATAGCATGTGACTAGCAGCTGAACATGCCTGCAGGCCTCCCCCTAAAGACAGGAAATGACTGGAAAGATGGTGGCTTGGTCCCTGTAGTGTATTCAAAGCTGCCTTGAATGCCTAACATGTGTGAAACATCTAATTGGAATGAGATGTAAAGCTTTGTCCTGGGCTAGGATCCAAAGTCATCCAATAGTATTGCTAGCCCAGGAAGGAACAAGCCAATCACTTCATGCAAGCTCCCTGAGCGGGAACGAATGTGATTGGACCTTATCTCTGCAACCTCATAGGTTGATATGTGCACAGTGGGTGTGGCTATATTAGCCGGGAATGTTTAAAAGCAGGACAGCTGCAATGTAAAGGCTGTTCTGGCTATCAGATGTTGATCCGTGTTGGAGTTGTGTTCGAGTTGAAGAATAAAGTTGTGTTCTTGCTGAATCACTCTCCGACTGCTTTGTTAAGCCAGCGACTTAACAGTACCTGTGGCTCATAGGGTTGTTAGGTCCCTCAAAGTCCCCAGCAGGGGACTTTGGGGGGCGTTACTGGAGGGGGTGGGGAGTTCCTAGTGTGATGATGTCACTCAGAAGTGACATCATCACGTTGAGGAGCAGAGGCCCCCACCTCTCCCCAGCAGCGTCTAAGTGTCCTTTTAAACCCTGCTAGGGAAAGGTGGGGGGGGAAGCCTTGTGCGCCTGCATGCTGAGCCCCGAATTTGGGGCTCAGAGTACAAGTGCACGGCCCCCGCCTCTCCCCAGCAGCATCTAAAGGGTCTTTTTAAACCCTGCTGGGGAGAGGTGGGGGGGAGGCTGGGTGGTTAAGGCGAGAAAGAGCCACTCCAAAGCGGGTAACCTAGGGTGTCCAAGTCCTACCTTCTTCCGGAGCGGGGGACTTCTGGGTTGATCCTGGAGTGTGAGCGCACTGCATCCACGTCACCAGGAAGTGACGTGACGATGCCAGGCACGCTGGGGGCGGAGCCATGACCATCTGAGGGAAAACCATAGAGTTTTTCCTCAGATGACCGTGGCCCCGCCCCCAGCGTGCCCGGCATGGTCGCGTCACTTCCTGGTGACGTGCACGTCGGGGTGGAGTTCCCCCTGGGGCCCGATCCGCCGCCGGCGGGGAACGGGCCTCTGGGGCGGGGTTTTCCCCGCCCCCCGGGGGGACTTGGCAAGCCTAGGGTAACCCCCACCAAACTGGGGGGGGGGGGGTCTGGCAAGCCTAGTGGCTTGTTAGACCGGCCTGTGCATTTAACTATCGAGCAAACCAACTGAACTCTGCTAATTAGTACCAGCAGTGGGGAAACATCTGGATTCACAGACCACTTCTTTAAGAGCAGTTGCCAACTTATTTATTTTATTTATTCATTTTATTGAATGTATGAATCGCTCCCCCCTGCGGGCAGGCTTATAAGGGTGTGAGACACCCAGACATTTAAACACAATTAACATATAATTAAAATTACCGACAATAAAACAATAAATTAAAACCAATACAAGATGGCATATAGTAGTCCTCTCTTGTCGGCCACACCACTGTCCTACACGGCAGGGCAAGGAAGGGTACGTGGGGGGCATAGGAGAGAAAGAGAGGGTGCCAGTCTTAACCTCCTGTTGTTGCCCTCAACTAAAAGCCTGGTGGAACATCTCTGCCTTACGGGCCCTGTGGAATTGCATCACATCCTGCAGGGCTCTGATATTATTTGGCAGAGAGTTCCACCAGGTCGGGGCCAGGACCGAAAAGGCCGGACCTCCCTAGTCAAGGGCAGCCGGACTTAACCTTTGATGCTGAATTCGTGACTGCAATGATCCCACCAGTCATGTGAAAAATTGCCATAGGGATGAAGGATGTCATCTGGCACCCCAGGAGTTTTGGGGTTGGGGCAAGGGGCAGACAGGACATTGTGTGATGCATCAACCAGATGCACGGTGTGTCAGTGTGACGTTACCAATGCGCCCTCTAAGCTGCAGGGTCTTGTGAGCAAAAATTCTACTTGGTGAGCTACTGGCATTAGAGTTGTGAGCGAGCGATTTGGCTCCTGCATAAATTAGTTTGCTCTGGAGCCACCCTTCCTGAGCGAAGACAAAAAGATGTGAGCCGGAGGCTAAAAAATTGTGAGCTAGCTCACACTAACTCAGCTTAGAGGGAACACTGGACGTTACCATACCATTTCCAGGGCATCAGCTGACACACTGATGTCACTTCCAGATGTTAGCACATTGCCTAATGTCATTTCCTTCCACCGATGTTTGTCCCCCTGGCCCAGTTGGAAAGGTGGGTAGGAGGGCCATACACCCAGGAGATTGCCTGCTGAAATGGGCAAATGGCATGCCTGCTGGGAAAGTTGGAACTGAGCTTATGGCACCACTTCAGACCACACACTATGTTCACTGGAAATATTGGCCAGGATCTGAAAGAGAATTCAAATTAGGTCCCCTCATCTCCCTCACCCATCACCTCTTGGTACCCATCACACCTTACCTCTTTGGACAGCAGTGAGCTGCAGTGACCACCCAGTTTAAGTCGATCAATACTCCAGCGCAATAGGGCAATGTTAAATTGTACAGCAGCACGAGCCAGGGATGTTCATCCTCAGGGCATTCACAGCCTCCAATGATCCGATCACGGTATGGTGATACTGCAACATAAACAGGGAAAGCTTTCTATGAAACTGAGACAGATGCCAGACACTCAAAAATTAGCAGGTTAAAACAAAGGTGGACATGCTGGAGCAATCAATGATCTTATTAGAACTGGAAAAAGCGGAAACTATGCTGAGGTTTCAAAATATTAGCGAGAAAGTTGAAAAAGATTTAAAAGAAGTGCTAGTTAAAAATATGGTTGAACAACTTGAGCTGGAAAATGAAAAAGAAATTTTAGAAGACATAGAAATGATACAGCGTAAAAATTCTAACTATACAAGGAAGCATAAACTCCCAAGGGAAGTACATGTTAAATTCCATAGGAAAAAAACAAGAGACCAAATCATCCACGCAGCAAATGACAAAAAGTTAATTATACTGGGAACTGAAGTAAAAGTGCTAAAAGAAGTCCCATGGAGGGTAAGAGAGAAACGTCAGTATTATGACATACTTATCGAGCTTCTAAGGAAAAAGCAAATACAATACAGATGGTTGGTACCGGAAGGCGTTCTATTTACCCACAAAACGCGAAGATATAGAATAGATTCCGTCTTTAAACTGGAAAATTTTCTTGAAAAGGAAGGTGAAGATTTGGGATGGCAGAGGGATAGAGAAGAAGAGGAAGAAGAGGAGGAGGACATTGATAAACAAGAGGGAGCAACAAGCCGGGAAGAGGCTACGGGAATGGAAAAAAGGGAAGTATATAAGGAAAAAAAGAAACAACAATTAAGATATAAAACAGAATCTCAAATAAGAACAAGACTACAATTGAAAAGTATAGTAACGGCAAAAAAAGACAAAAAAGATGGCTATTAAAAAATTATCTCTGTTATCGGTGAACGTTAACGGGCTGAATAGCCCACAAAAAAGGAAAAAAATTTTCCATCAAACATTAAAATTAAGTCTAAGCGTAGTATGCTTCCAGGAAACCCATATTAAAGAAGCACACATTAAACATCTGGAATGTAAGAAATTAGGTGTAGCATTTGCAGCTTCAGACCTAGAAAAAAAAAGAGGATTGGTGACATATGTAAAAGAAAATCTGAATCCAGAATTTAAATTTAAAACAAGAAATGGAAGAATCTTGGTGGTAAAAATTAGATACAATGGAAAAGAAGTATATATAGTTAATATATATGCGCCAAATCAAGACAGAATGCCCAGGAGATATATTTATCGCGGGAGATTTTAATGCAGTGTTTAATGATAAAGAAGACAGGAAAAGAACAAAGAAAACAATAAGAAGCGGAACACTACTACCTAAATCCTTTATGCAGATGGCAGAGGAGCTTAATCTAATAGATATCTGGAGAACAAGAAATCCCTCTAAAAAAGACTACACCTTCTTCTCTGCCAGATTTAGAGCCTGGTCTCGCATAGACATGATTTGGCTAAATGTAGAAATAGCAAAAGATTTACTTGAAGTGGAAATTTTGCCAAATACATATGCGGACCATAACCCACTGTGGATATCGCTGCAGGATGGAGCTAAAAATACAAGATGGAGGATGAATGTGGGCCTTCTGCAAGATAAAAAATTCTTAGAAAAATTAAAAAGGGACATCAAGGACTTTATCAAAATAAACAGAACGGAAGAAGTATCACTTAATACAGTGTGGGACACCTTAAAAGCTTATGTAATGGGATTACTTACAACACAACATATATGGGAAAGGAAGCAAAAACGAGAAGAATATAGAAAGCTGACAGAGAACCTAAAAAAGGAAGAAGAAAAGCTGAAAAAAGACAGAAATTGTAGAGAGACTAGTGTAAAAATAAAATTAATACAACATCAGGTCAACATATTATTAACGCAGGAAATAGCAAAGAAGATAGAGTATGCAAAAACTTATTACTTCGAAAATGCAAATAAGCCAGCACGCTGGTTGGCCTATAGATTAAGAAAGGAAAGTGAAAAGAGAACAATCTCGGCATTGAAGAATGAAAAATCGGAAATAGAATACACAAACGTCAAATTAAAAAAGGTAGTGGAGGACTTCTATTCAAAACTTTACCGCCAAGAAAAAATAGATGAGAAAGAGATTCAAGAATACTTGAAGACACACAACACAAGAAAATTCACGGATACACAGAGAAAAATACTAAATGAGACAATCACAATGTGTGATATAACAGAAGCCCTTAGGAAACAGAAGAAAAGGAAATCACCAGGCCCAGATGGTATCACGATAGAATTCTATCAAAAACTAGAAAATGAAATAACACCACTATATAAAGATCTTCTACACAGCATAATGGAAATATCAAAGGTATCACAATCATGGAACGAAGCTTTGATTTCATTGATTCATAAGCCGAACACAGAGAGCCTTGAGATAAAAAACTACAGGCCAATTTCATTATTGAATGTAGACTATAAGATCTATGCTACAATAATAGCGAACAGATTCAAAAAAGTTATGTCCCAAATTATTCATCAGGACCAAGCAGGTTTTCTCCCAAAAAGACAAATTAAGAGAAATATAAGAATTATAGTGGACATCATTGAATATTACGAATACCAACCGGGGGAAAAATTGGCCCTAATGTTCCTTGATGCAGAGAAAGCTTTTGATAATGTAAATTGGGCCTTTATGAAACAAAAATTAAAGTTTTGGGATTGTGGAAATCTCTTTATGAACATGATAGAATCGACATATTGTGAACAATGGGCAAAAATTATAGTCAATGGGGATTTAACCCAAAGGATACCCATAGAAAAAGGGACAAGGCAAGGCTGTCCACTCTCCCCTCTATTATTCATATTTGGTCTAGAGACGTTAAATGATATAGTGAGATCGAACGAGGATATAAGGGGCCTCAAGTTGAGAGGAGAGCATTTCAAGTTACTGGCATTCGCTGATGATTTAGTTTACATTTTGGAAGAACCGATGTCATCAATCAAAAATTTACTAGAAATAATACGGCAGTATGGGGCTGTAGCAGGATTTAAAATAAATATGAATAAGACGAAATTAGTGATAAAAAATTGTACAATAGAACAGAAAAAAGAAATACAAGAAAATACAAAATTAGAAATAGTAAAAAAAGTAAAATATCTAGGTATTAATATCACAAACAATAATGCTAATCTGTATGAAAATAACTACAAAGCTACACTAGAGGAAATTAAAAAGGATCTACAAAGATGGCAAGATCTACAAATATCGTTCATGGGAAGAATATCCACGATTAAGATGAACGTACTACCACGTATTATCTTCCTAGCGCAATGTATTCCAATCCTCAAAAATAAAAAAATTAACGAAGATTTAAATAAGCTGACAAGAAAATTTATTTGGCAAGGGAAAAGGGCCAGAATAAAACTAAAATTTCTAACAGAAAATAAAACGAGAGGAGGGCTAAGCTTTCCGGACTGGAACCTGTACTATCAAGCAGCAGCACTAGGATGGACAAAAGAGTGGGCACTATTAGAAGACAAAAGCTTGTTAAAACTAGAAGGTCATGATCTACACATGGGCTGGCATGCCTATGTGTGGTATGACAAGGATAACATACAGAAGAGTTTCTCTAATCATATAGTAAGAGGACCTTTAATGCAAATATGGAGACAGATAGAAGAAAAAAATTATGAAAAAATACCAAAGTGGATATCTCCTATAGAGGCCTTTGTAATCCCATCTCTAATGACAGAAGAGAAAAATATTACATACAAGAACTTATTAGATGAACAAAATGAACTTAAGTCCTGGGAAGCACTGCAGGATATGCATGTAAGTCTTTCAATATGGGAAAGGAACCAACTAATCTCAAGATTCACAAGAGATAAAAAACTAGAATTTTACACTAAAGAAACACAATTAGACAAACAGATTGGAAAAATATATAAACTGCTACTAGAAGAAGAGTTAAACGACGATTGGGAAAAACCATCCATGATCAAATGGGAAAGAGACTTGGGTCGCAAAATAGAAAGAGAAGAATGGGAAAAATCTTGGAAATCAATCAAATTATTAACAGCAACACCGTACAAAGAAAATATAATAAACATGATATACAGATGGCACTGGACGCCAGATAGGTTACAAAAGTGCTATGTAAATGTTTCAGGGAACTGTTGGAGGTGCAAAAACAATAAAGGAACGCACATACATATTTGGTGGAAATGTGAGAAAATACAAAGATTCTGGAAAAGTACTAAGCAGTTGATAAAAGATATTACAGAAAGAGATCTACCTCTAAAACCAGAAATCTTTTTACTAAATATCACACCCAATGGTATTAAATATAATGAAACATGTATTATTGTACATCTAACTACAATGGCAAGAATCTGTATTGCTAGGAACTGGAAGTCAGATAACATACCAAATACGGAAGAATTAATAAACAAACTTTTTGAGGTAATAGAGATGGATAAATTAAACATGTTTTTGGCTGGAAAGTTAGAGGATAAGTTTAACCAGAAATGGCATAAAGCCATAAAATGGTATGAGGAAAATTTGTAAAATTAACCCCCAAATGTTAATAAAGAAGAGATGAATGTATGTACAAGAGGAAAAAAATGTAAATAAACAATTTAAAAAAAATTAGCAGTACCTGCCAATCAGTCTGCAAAATAATTGGCATCTCTGCTAGAGGAAAGCTAAAAGATACAGCATCTGTGGACTTCCTGGGAATACTTAGTATTTAAGAGCCGACTAATATAATATCTGCATTTCGGAAACTGCACTGAATTCTGAATTAGGACACAGACAGGCTTTGCAAAGACGGAAATTTTACCGGATTATGAACAGTCACACTGAACTCTCATTTGAAATTCTCCTGAGTTCTAGTCTGACTGACTATACCACACTGGTTCTCCACCTGCCCCTTAAATATTGCATTTTTTCACTGCACACAAATACTACAAAGAAGGGAACAAAAAGAACTGGAATAAGATAGAGACTTTTCTATGACTTACAGCATGTGCTGTTTGTGCATATGGATGCTACACATGGGCAATTATTCAACAACCTCTTTTTTAACTTAAAATTTTCATTTTACCTTAGCAAGCATACAACAAACATATATTGTACATTCTATAAGTACAATTACCAAGAACTGAACAAAGAAAAGAAAACCATTGTAGAAATAATTAATCTGATAATATTGACAGGTTCAAAAATGTGCTAATATACTATGATATTGCTTTGACTGCACAGCTTTTTTTAATGTGTCATTCACTGCACATCAAGTATTCTAACACCAGAAACCATTGTTCCACAAATTTGGAGTTATACTGAATAGTCTCTGACAATGAAACTTGATCTGCTATCTTCCCCATTATAAAATAATCCCACCGTTTACAGTGCCACTGTGAGATGGTTGGCGGATGAACAGTTTTCCAGTTGGAAGCTATTACAGATTTTGCAGCTGTCAATAAAACACCAATTAGATTTCTGTTTGGGGAGCATATATTAGAGTCATTCCAAAGATTCAATAATATGGTCTCTGGGAGCATGCAAACCTCATCACCTGTTATTAATTTTATACGTTTTACTATCTCGGTCCAGAATTTTCTAATAAGCTTACAACCCCACCAACAATAAAGAAAAGTACCCCTTTCTCCACATTTCTTCTAACAAATGGCTTGGTGAGTCAATGTGATGTAATCTTACTAGCTTCACGTATCAGTATGTCAAAACGTTTATCAATTGTACTCTGTTATTTACACACTTCGATCAAAGTGTATTAGAATGCCATATTCTTGTCCACTGTTCCTTTGTGAAGGACCCACGAACAGTCCTGCCAAGCTAAACATCAAAAAGACCAAGTTCATGACCACCAAGAAGAAGAGAAACGTCAAAATAACAGTTGACAATGAAGAGATCGAATGTATGGAAGAATTCACTTTCTTAGGATCACAGATCAACCAAAACAGTGAATGCAGTCCAGAAATAAAAGAACGAATCATGCTGGGTCACACAGCAATGATGAGCATGAATCGAATATGGAAGAGCAAGGATATCAGCTTAGCAACCAAATGCAGATTAGTTTGTGCTTTTGTGTTCCCCATAGCAACCTAAGGCTGCAAAAGCTGGACCATGAAGAAGCAAGACGGCACCTGGTATTTTTGGTCATTGTGACAGAGTATTGGAATGGATGGGCCATTGGCTTGATCCAACATTGACTTCTCTTATGTTCTTAAGACAGGAGGAAAATCGATTCATTTGAGCTGTGGTGTTGCAGAAGGTTCCTGCACATTCCTTGGACAGCAAAGGTAATAAACAAGCAGGTGTTGGAGCACATGAAACCAGACTTGTCATTGGAAGGAAAAAACATAAAACTGTGACTGACTTATTTTGGCCATGTCATGTAGAAGAATTCACTAGAAAAAGCAATTATGCTTAGATTGGTTAGTGGCAAAAGGAAACCGGGCCGCCAAAGAACATGGTGGCTAGACACCAGCCTGAGCATGGAACGACTCAAAGAAACAGTACAAGATCGGAAAACGTGGAAAGAGCTGGCCCATAGAATCGCCAAGAGTCAGACATGACTGAAAGGCTAACAACATTGAAACCATGATAACTTAAGCTGAGCTTTCTTGTCTAATTTTGATTGTTCCAGAATTTCTCTTTTATATCCTTCAATTGTATGAGATTGGCCTTCCTCCATGATGTAATGTTCCCTCTTCTAATCCTGGTTTAAACCAGCTTTGGTCTATAAAGGGAGATAGTGGTGAAATCGGTGATACAAACTGGGACCTTTTTTATCCCAGGTAAATAATAAAGCACCTAGAAATGGCTTCTGTTTAATGCCAAAGTGCTTTCAATAGTTTTTGGTTTTGCATACCATTGACTAATATTTTTCCAATCAACCATAAGATTTATTAGAATTAAGATATCCCTGAGGTGTGCTGCCTCATAGTATAAGAAGAGGATTTGAAGAGTAGAATGACACAAATTATAGCTGAATATGTGGAAGAAGAAGATGTTTCACGAATAGGGGATGATATAGAATTAGTATACCGTATAAGCTCCTCTTATGCAAAAAAAAAATAAGCTTCCAAGAGAGGTACATGTTAAGTTGGCTAGGAAGCGTCTTCGTGAACTAATTCTGAGGACAGCTACACACAAGCCATTAATCTGCCAGGACAAAGAAGTAAGGATACTGAAGGACATCCCTTGGAGGATCAGAGAAAAAAGGAAAATGTATTTTAAATTAACACTGGGATTAAAATGAAAAGGAATCAAATTCAAATGGCTGTTACCAGAGGGTGTTCTTTTCAATTTCAAATCAAGATGGTATAAAATAACTTCTACCTCAACAATGGAAGAATTTATTAAAAAGAGTGGAGCAGAATTAGACATACAATTGTCAGAGGAAAGTAGCGAGGAGGAGGAGGAGGAAGAAGAATCAGGAGAGGAACCGGATGAAGAACAAACAAGTGCCAGAAAAAAGAAGAGCAGACCTCAAAGAAAAGGAACACTCCCTTTGCAAGTGCGTACGATTCTTTTCTATGAGTTGCTTAAGTTTTGGGGATACGTTTAAAGGGAATAGCTCACATTTTGCCTGACTGGTGAACAAACCTGTGATGTGGCTGAAATGTCGAAGATTGTCTTCCAATATCTGTAGTGATATCTGAGGATCAGTTGCTCTTAGGTCACTTCAATCTATATAGAAGAAGAAGAGATTGGATTTCTACCCCACCCTTCACTACCAAAAGAAGTCTCAGAGCGGCTTACAAACTCCTTCCCCTTCCCCTCCCCACAAAAGACACCCTATGAGGTAGGTGGGGCTGAGAGAACTCTGACAGAGACTGCTCTTTTTCAAGAACAGCTGTGCCAGAACTATGGCTTGCCCAAGGTCATCCAGCAGGTACAAGTGGAGGAGTGGGGAATCAAACCCAGCTCTCCCAGATTAGAGTCTGCGCACTTAAGCACTACACCAAAGTGGTGTATTTTACTATATTCTGTAAGACCTATTTTTAAAATCAGTATATAGGCAGTCCATGCACTTAACCACTACACCAAACTGGTATATTTTACTATGTTCTGTAATACCTATTTTTTAAATCAGTAATTAGGCAGTTAATGTACTCACTGTTTGAACTATGCATTCTGAAAACAATATCAGTTATACTGCAGCAGACTATGTATATGTACAAAAGCTATAACAATAGACCAGATCCCCCTTTTACAGATGAAGTATAAAGTTTTATCTCTAAACTGTAGGGGACTGAATAATAAAATCAAGAGTAAGAGAGTCTCTGTGCTCCTGAACATGCAAAAACTAGACATCTTGCTCCTATAGAAGACACATTTAAAGAAAGAATCTAAGCAGGTTTTTAAATCCTTGTGGTGGGCTCAACAATTCCTAGCAGCAGGCTCCTCAAAATCATGTGGGGCAGCAATCCTGTTTTCTAAAAACATCCGCTTCTTTAATTAAGCAATAGAGATTGACCCTTTGGGGAGATTGACCCACAAGTGGGGAGATATGCCCCCAATACAAATCAAATCTCATTTCATAGACGAAACAACCAAACTCGACACCTTCCAGGAGGGTGAGATATTGGTAGAAGACCTAAACTGAGAGCCAGTTTGGTGTAGTGCTTAGGAGCGCGGACTCTAATCTGGGAGAAATGGTTTCCCACTCTTTCACATGCAGCTGCTGGTATGACCTTGGGTCAGTCACAAGTTCTCTCAGAGCTGTTCTTGAAAGAACAGTTCTTGAAAGAGCT